CAAGTTTTATGAAATACAAGCCAAAAGGATTTAGAAGGATTAGGAAATAAATACTCTATATAATGCTGAAATTAGAAAATACGGTTGTATCTTCGATAGTTTAACATGCTTTTAGTACAATTTTATTTTGTATAATTCCTACATTACACAGGAAATATTCTGGGCAGTGATGTGTGTGGGTACGTGCTATGGTTTGAATGTCTCCTCTAAAACCCATGTTGAAATTTAATTACCACTGTAAGAGTATTAAGAGGTGGTGCTTATCAGAGGTGACCAGGTCAAGAGGGCTCTGCTCTCATAAATGGATTAATGCCATTTTCTCAAGAACAAGGAGGGTGCTCTACACTTGATGTTAGCCAAAAGGTGGAAAAATGAGGAAATATACTCCTGATAAACACATAAATCTGAGCCCCATTTTTCTCTCTGTCTCTTGCACCTGCTCTTCCTCACCATGTGATTGTCTTTCTGCCCTGTTATGATACAGCTGGAAGACTCTCACCAGATGTGACTCCTTGATCTTGAACTTTCCAGCCTCCAGATCTATAAGCCAAATAAACCTCTTTTGTGTATAAATTGACCTGTCTGCCATATTCTGTTGTAGTAGCAGAAAAAAAACTAAGATAGTATGTTTTTTGTCGACATCTGTGTATTCTGTTTATTGAGAATCTCAAGGTCCATTGTACTGGGTATCTGATTAAGAAAATATCTTAAGAATCAAGTGTATGTTTCCTCAAGGTCACCATATTATCACATTTGTTTGTTTAGATTATTATTATACTTCTAAACTGATTTAAAGGATCTTATAAATAAGAAGAGTAGCTATAATAAAGGTTTTTTGATACATTTAAAGAACAAAATTCAAACAGTAACAAGGGGATTTAGTCTAAGAGTGTACAAAGGACCAGTGACTAAGATATGAACAGTATTTTTAACAGCAACTCACAGAAAACCAAAAACACAGACATTCTTTTTTAAGACTGTTCCTTATCATTGTTCCTTAAAAAAAAAGTTGAGAAGAAAAGTTAAATGATAGGAAATGTCTCTTTTCTGTAAGTCTCTAGATGGTCTTCCGAGAATTTTTCTTTCTTTAATTCTCAGTTTCTGCAGAAATCATCCCTGTGCCAGACATTTTTAATTGCTTTTCTAATAGCTATTTGCTTAATTTTCCTTTCTAGAATAGAAATTAATTTAATGGCTAATGTTTCTGTTTGAAAATACGTAGCTTTCCACAATCCCATGAATCTGAAAATGAGTGTGTGATGCAGTTCTGGGCAAAGAAGTGTAAATGGCAATCACAGGGTTGGGCTTTTCAGTGTTATTGCCTTCCTGAGAAATGGAGCAAACTACTCAATGTATCTTTTGCTCTTTACCTTTTCCCTTTTTCTCTTTCTAGAATTGAAGCATAAGGTCTAGAAGGGCAATGGGGTTTTTCTGTGTGTGTGAGCATGAGGAAAACACATTGCTCCAAGGGCGGATGGAGAAGCTAAAAGCTAGAGGGCATCTGGGGCTTCCAGGTCATCATATCATCATAAAAAACCTGGACATTCTGCCTGCAGACTATTACGTAAATAAGATAAAATAATAAAATAAAGCACTTTCATTAAGTTTCTGCAACATACAGCTAAAAATAACCCTAAATCTTGAGCTTTTTTATGTGTCCCAGTCCCAGTCTGGCTTAGGTGCTCCTCCTTGCCTCTGTGACATTTCATACAAACCCAGTATATGTAGAGTGGCACCTGAGTCTCATTGCATTGTGCTGAAAGGTGGATACTGGAGGGCAGAAAAAACAGCATTTTATAATTCGCTGTAATTAAATAATCATAACTCTGCTCTGCTCCAGATCCCTTATCTTAGCATTCAGGACAATAAACACAGTATTTAAAAAGGTAGCACTCCTCTTATTTTTCACAGATCTTATCATTGCCTGATGGTACTGGGTAACCGCATCTCTCTCTGGAGGTCCATGAATAGAGTCGTGACTTTGTTCATGACTGATGTAAGATATCAATAAATACCAGTTGAATATATAAATTAATCAATCATTGAAGTGAAAACTTTTTGGAGAACTGAATATTGTAGCTTTCTACTGATTTCATTTAAAGCAGAGAATAGATTGTCGATTTTAAAAAATTGATTGCTTATCCCAGGCGGACCCCTAAAGGATGGCATATGTACATATATTTGAAAATCAAGTCTTCTATAAATGCCTGAAATAAAGATTTTTAAATGACTTACGCATTAGTTATAGAATTGGTGAGATCTGAGATTTATTTTTATATAAATATTGAATAACTTGTCTGTATTCCTACCCAGCTGCAGAAGAATGGAGTTGGGAAGGACCAAGGCTTTTCAGCTATTTTAATTCTTTCCAAGGTATGTTCAAGAATGCAATTAAATCCTTAGAGCTCTGCATCATATGTTACCTTAAAAACTTTAAGAGTATATGTTAATAATTTTCAATCTCTAACATGTAAATGCTAAGAAAAAGTTAAATTTGAGGAGACCACACCTTAATGGCATTTCAAGATGAGTTACTCCCACAGAATCTGGAGAATAAACTTTTGAAACATCATCCAGTTGGGTATGTAATCATAACTTCAAAAATGATGATTTTCATTTTGGTGAAGCTGATATTGAGCTCTTACTTCTGATAACATTTGCGTAATTTTTTTCAAGCTGACCACCTCATTGTATAACAAAAGAAATATGTTGACATCATAAATAATTGGAAAATGTAATTCTGAAAGATTTCATTCAAAGAGAAAGATAGGCTCTGAATTATGGCATCAGATTAGAGGATGGCTACAGGTAGTCATTCTTTTTAAAATGTTTTAAACTGTAGTTTAGAGTAAAAGTCATTTATTTTTTAAGAACTTCTGAATGGAGCAGGTAAGTTCTAGCATTAAAAGTTAGTCAAAATTACCTAGAATTTGAGGAGAAAGTAAGCAAAATATAAACTTGTACAAGTGAAGTTAACCATAACCAATATATTTAATCAACCATTTAAAGAAGTGTCCATCCTAAAAAAAAATTATATATATATATATATATGAATGTGTTGATACTGAGGATAAGGGTGTATAGACAAATTTCACGGTGGGAGGGACCCCAAAAATATAAGTTATAGAAGATCAATTACACATCTAAAATTGCAATACCCAAGGTCTTCAGAAAGGTATAATCCTGGTAAACAAGAGTTGAGAATTACATATTGTAATTACATACTGAGTTGAGGGTAATGTGCGTGACTGTGTTTCTAGCCTACTCCACAGGACAGGGTATCCTGCTTGGCAAGTGTCAGCCTCTAGCCTTCTCAGCAGGTTTATCTCTATAGTAAAGAAGGATGCATAACAATCTATTAGCACAGTTTCTAAAGTTAATCCAGACTTTTGTCTGAGTTTTCTGATAATCATGTGATTTTCCAAATAGACATCTCTTCTGTGAAGAGATCCATAGTATACAACTTTATGACTCTCATGCCTGGTCATATGGATTATTATAAAAGCAAGTGTTTCTGTCAGACCCCGTCACAGACTCACATTTCCAAAGACAGTTAATTTTCATTGATTAGTATTATATGATTAAATAAAAGTAAAATAATTTTTAAAGGATGTAAAACAGAGAACTTTAGGGCTGGAAGGAATCTCAGGAAGAATACTGCCCAATTCTTCCATTTAACAAAGAGAAAACCAAGGCCTAAAGGGGTAAAAGATCCAAGGTCACCAGCTGTTTAGACCAAGGGCAAGAAATGGAGCCAATATCATCTCACTCCCATTCCAGGCTTCTTTTAAAGAAATTGAACAAGACAAAGAGAAATTTTCTTTTACCAATGGTTCAGACTTAAAAAAGAAATCAGAATTAAAAACAACAGGTCTATCTGGTTATAGCCAACGACACTGATGGAACAGGCTGGTATAAATTGAGAAGATAATTTGGCACCACAATGAGTAAGGAGTTAAAACTTTGGTGAAATTACTTTAGGTTTCATTGAACACTTTACCTTTAGGCATTCAATTTCAAAGCCCCCCGGATGAGATGGACCTGTTCCTGCCAAATTTTAGGTTCTTGCTCCTCATACCACATGACTTCAAGTCTTCTGTTAGTTACCTTGCTTTCTTTTCTGCTATTGATAGTCAACATGTCTATCTGATTTAACTGAAACATTTAAGCAACTGAAATAAACACTCTACTTTTATGAGGCATAGATTTGGAGCAATAAAAATTGAGAAATCACCTTTCCTTTAAATAGGTCTGAGTAACTCAAAATGGAATCTTCTGGGTGTTGGGTAAAGGAAAGGATAGGAACTTCATCTTTTCCCTCCAAATCAGAGAATGGACCAAATGAGTAACTTTCAACAATCTGCTTATTTGAAGAAATGTATTGATTATGAAATGCACTTATTATGACTCTTACTTTGGGATTATCATAAAACCAAATGTTTTTCTCATGACTCTACTACACTTTACAATACTTGCAATATAGCAAATAGTCATCTATTAATCATAATTTTCAGGTAAAGGAATATCACAGCAGCTGTTACAAGCTCAAAGATACTGATATCTGCCTAAAAATATTTTGTTGTTTCAAGAACTGGAAAAGTATATAGTACTAGGCTGAGTAACTCTTAGGGGAATGTCACTGAGAATATTACAGCTTTGATATGGCTTTTCTGATATATAATATGTAACCTTGTATCCTAGTAGACCATTTGGCTGCTGGAGTTATTCCCATTTTGCACATTTTGATCCTGGGTGCTGTCTCTAGGAAGAAAAGAAGCAGAGAACAACTTTCTATTGTCCAGGCACTTAGAGTTGAACTGGAAATACAGATCATACACAAGAGATAGCTAAAGAGTTAGTATATCTTGCTCTGCCTTGACTCTGGCCTCTACTTACATTGTACTGCTTATATCTAGATCGGTTGAGTTTTGCTTATACTGGAAGGGAGAAATTCACCATTATATATTACATCAAATCTGAATAGAAACACTCACGCTCACCTGAAACATTCATCTCAATTCGAACTTAGGTTAACTCATAGGAACCGGTGTTCTCCTCTGGGACAGTTCACACATCCTCTAGAATTTAGAATTTCTAAACGAATGTCTAGGTGATGGCAGAGTATCCAGGCAGCCTACACTTTAAAAGGCTCGAAATGAAAAAAAGGCACAGTAAAATAAATCACCAGGGCTACTTAGTGGTAAATACCTCATTTTCTTGTTGTGTTTACCCTTCTGACCCAACAGAACAGTAATGTATATCCCCTCATTGCATTCTTAATAAGGTTATTTACACTGCATATCCAATGAGTTTATGCTGTATGCAATAAATTCTCAGCTCTGAAATGTGGGTGAGACTGTAGACATCATTACTGGAGGAATTAACCTTGTAAATGAGGAGCACTCTTATTGAAGCTCTGGATTTTGATTATTCAAGAGGGACACAGGAATACAGGCAGTTTCTGCAGAATTATAATGATCAGCCTTACAAAATACTGCTCACTATGAATAAGTAATAATATCTGGGCAACAAGTGAAGAATTCTGACTTCATATTTTAAGTACCTGGGTACTACCTTGCATTTTTTCACAGCAACAGAGGGAAGAAATATTGTGAATATCTCTGACCCACAGAATTAAGGTCTTGTTCATCTGTAGTGGTCTATATCACGAACTGGTTGGGCTTGACAAAGCTAGAAGGAGGAAGCCCAGTAGAGTAGAACCTTCTCAATTCACACTGCCTATGTCCTCACAGCCCTCAAATATGTCCCAGAGATTTTTTATGCCACACCCACCGTTCAACCACACCTACGTGACTTCAACCTCTGCAGTTAAGACGCATCAGGATAAGCTGGAAGTTTATTAATTTCCTGATTTGTTAAGAGCTTATAGGAATCTAAGGGTAAGATGAAGCTATTGAATTAAAGCTCAAAAATGGGTTACTAGGAATCAAAAAGAAAAGCTTGTATTTTCTCACTTAGGTAAAAGCCTCAGGTAATGTTACGTGAATCTAATTCCAGCCAGTTTTCTAACAAAGAAAAGCCTCTGAGGATTAACATGGGGCATGAAGATTCTTCCACTGATTCTTTCTCCATCGATTCATGATAGCTATATATATCTTGAAGAGCTGCAAGAACAGAGTATTTCAGAGAGTGTGTGATTCAGATGAATATTAACATTTCTCCTAGTAATTTGGAAACAAAAGCTCATCTATCTGATGTCTTTCAAGCCCATGTATAAAACCTAACCACCATGCCTAGAAATGAGGGAGTGGATGGATGGAGAATTTTTCTCTTTATCTCATACAAATACTTACGGCATCCACAATAGTAAATATAAATCCCATTGCACATTTTGGTATAGGCAGGGTTACAGGGTGCACCTATTTGCACAAATTGTAAAGCTGAGATTTGTGCATTTTGATATCTATAAATTATATCACAAAATAGAATTGTAAATAATAATAATAATAATAAAGTAGGGGTGGGAAGCGGGCATCATAAAAGATAAAACAAGAATAGCTGAATATTGATACATTTTGAAGCAGGATGATGGGTACCTAGGGGTACATTATGCTATTTGTTTTACTTTGCATAGGTTTGAGATTGTCAAAAATAAAAGCTTTTAAAAATGCTAATAGTTTTAGTTTCATTATCCCACAGTCACAGCTTTCATCAGTATTAGGACCATGATTAAAATCCACTAATATAATTGACATTTAACAATGCAGACTGAAGACATCACCTTCACAGCCCTACCTGAAGGAAACAGCTTGACATTTTATAACCTCTGGTTCTCTACTTGAATAAAGATAGGTCCTTAAAAAAGCATTGTCATAGTCATCAAATATTATTCTATGGCCTCAGAAAGTCAGAGATGCCTGAGCAACTCTATACAGCTGGGGCTTCTTAGGTCTGCGTTGTTTCCATTACTTTCCACCACCTTAAATATACTGAGCCTACTTGTAGTTACCGATGTCCTCTCGCTACTGACTTAGCCTTTATTAATTCTGTTACAGTATTTCTGAGATTCTCAGATTAAGAATATTCCATACTATTACACAGCATCCTACTTAAAGTACTGATTCTTCAATACTGACGTCTTTCTAAAAATGTTTAGTTAATGCTCAAGCTTTGGTACAATTAAAAGTGAAGGTAAAACTGCTTTATAAGCACAGATGTCTACATATTATCACATAAGAAATGGTTACTGCTCAATAAATGTTTATCGAATGAGTGAATGATAGAAGAGAGATATTTAAATGATTTAAAATTTTTTCTCATGGATTTCAAAGACAGAAGTAAAAAAAGAGCAGCAAAATACTTAAACTAAAAGAGCATTTTAAAGATTTCATATTTAGTGTCTCTAGGAAGCATTTATGAACTTATTGTGGTCTAAGAAATACCGCATTATACTGAGGCATTTTTTAAGTACATATAGTATTTTTTAATTATAGAAAGGACTATTGGTCTAATAGCTGTGAAGAGAAGCAGTCAAATCTCTAGGGGAAAAAATGCCTTTACTGACAACACATTTATTATGAGGATAGCCTTAGTTTGCTAAGTTTGATTTTGGTGAAAATTGGCTTTAAAAGATCTGAATGTTGAAAGCTAAAATGAGGCAAACAGCTTTGTGGAGTCTAAATTAGCTGAATAGTTACTTTTTCTCTCCCCTTTGCTACAGTTTATGTGCCAAATATTAAATAGCAACAGTTTAAGAATTCAAATAATCCTAAGCACTCATCAACAAGGGGGCTATACTAAATCCACACCAAGCATCCATACCATGGTTTTCTTTTCATAATAAAGAGTAGCAAGGCAATCATTATCAACATCAAAAGCCAAAACCGATCAATCAAATTGAGACAAGAACCAGCTGGTTTTGCTCCTGCCATATTGCAGTGCCTATGTGTCCAATCCTTTATTTCAAAGAACGTTAGAGAGTCAGTGCTCTTCTTTCTAGAAACAGGCCACAAGAAGTATATGCAAACTTCTAACGTATCACGTGAAGACAAAGCACCAATCTGATGGACTGAATGCTCATAATCTGTGAAAAATTCAGAAGGGTTCAGAACAAAAGCGTCTTCACACTGTATGCACTTCATACCCAGCCTTTGAAACACTAAGCTTTGCAGCAGCGAAAACATAAAATTGTGCAGTCCTGTCAAATGCTACTTTGCCAGAGCATAAAAACACCAATAATGACTGCATCTAGAGATTGCGTTTTAGCAGTCCTTTGAGATGTGTGTGTGTATATACACATATACACACACATACATATATATGTGT